GTAGACGTGCTACTTGTGCTGGAGGAAGATGTGCTTGTCGAGGATGTTGAGGACGAGCTGGTGCTTGTGGAGCTGGTGCTTGTACTTGAAGTGCTAGTGGAGCTGCTGGATGTGGATGTGCTGCTCGTGCTGCTGCTGGATGTGCTTGTCGAGGATGTTGTGCTGGATGATGTTGATGTTGACGAAGAACTGGTGGAAGAAGTGCTTGTGCTTGTGCTGCTTGTTGAGGAGCTTGACGTGGAGGTGCTACTTGTGCTGGAGGAAGATGTGCTTGTTGAGGATGTTGAGGACGAGCTGGTGCTTGTCGAGCTGGTGCTTGTGCTTGAGGTGCTTGTGGAGGTGGTGGATGTGGACGTGCTGCTGGTGCTGCTGCTGGATGTGGATGTGCTGCTCGTAGTGCTGCTGGACGTGCTAGTTGATGTTGTCGAGCTGGACGATGTCGATGTTGACGAAGTGCTTGTGGAAGTGGTTGATGACGAGCTTGTGCTTGTACTTGTTGTACTTGTAGAAGAGGTGCTGCTGGTGCTAGTGGTGGTGGAGCTGGTTGTGGATGAAGAAGTGGTGGTGGATGTAGAGGTAGAGGATGAGGTTGTTGTAGATGTAGTGGTAGATGATGTTGTGCTGGACGTGCTGCTGCTTGATGAGGTGCTCGTACTTGTGCTAGACGTTGATGTGCTGCTGCTTGTTGATGATGAAGTGCTTGATGAAGTTGTTGATGACGAGCTAGTGCTTGTGCTGGATGTGCTACTGGACGTTGTAGAGGTAGAGGAGCTGGTGCTCGTGGTGGTTGAGCTGGTTGTGGATGAAGAAGTTGTAGTGGATGTAGAGGTAGAGGATGAGGTGGTGCTAGATGTACTGGTAGATGATGTTGTGCTGGACGTGCTGCTGCTTGATGAGGTGCTCGTACTTGTGCTAGACGTTGATGTGCTGCTGCTTGTTGATGATGAAGTGCTTGATGAAGTTGTTGATGACGAGCTCGTGCTGGTGCTGGACGTGCTTGTTGAAGAGGTGCTGCTTGTTGTAGTGGATGAAGTTGTGCTGCTTGTGCTTGTGCTTGACGTGCTGGTCGATGAAGTGGAGGTAGATGATGTTGAGGTTGATGTGGAGCTGGTTGATGAGCTGGTGCTAGTGGTGGTCGAGCTGGTTGAGGATGAAGAAGTGGTGCTGGATGTAGAGGTAGAGGATGAGGTTGTGGTAGATGTAGTGGTAGATGATGTTGTGCTGGA